CAGCGTGGTCAGTTGCGACTTGCGTACGTGGCCTCTCAGGCCAACACTGCTGATGTGTTCACCAAGGCACTTGCGCCTTGTGACCATCAGCGCTTCTGCACTCAGCTGGGTCTTGTACCTGTCTTGCCTCACTTGCTCTCCTCTTGACCTTACTTGTACTGTCACATATATATACCTGCTCTTGCTTGTCTAGCTCTATATATATATGTGTACTCCTGCATGTGAACTGGCCTTGTGGCCTTGTCGTTGTGCTCGGACTGTGTGGTGACGTTGTGATCCACCCTGAGCTTGCTCTGCTTTGCTTGACTGGTCTTGTGACCCCTTGTTCTCCCCCACTTTGCCTATGGGGGTGTGTCAGAACATTATATAGCTTATGCTGTTGTGTAGGCTATAGTGGGGTATCCCATAGGGGGTACAACCCAATTAGGGTTTTCCATATGTACTCACCTCATTCATAGTTCATTCATCCTCGTTCTTCATTCTTCTCAGGTTACGCGGGTACCGCGCAACGTTTACTGGCATGTTGATGCTCTTGTATGCATTCTTGTGTGAAGAAAAGTGTTAGGGGTAAAAACTGCTCCTAAAACATACAACTTTATACACTTCTCGTGTTATTTGCATGCGGGGTTTCGAGCATTGTGGATATAATTTAATTTTGCAATTCCACAAAGAAGCGCACATTTTGTGCTGACTACTAAAGCCCTTCTAACCCCAAACAAGCTGTCGTTTTCGCCTTGTTTGTCAGGCAACTTGATTGCCAACAACGTTGGATATGATGACGATGTGCCACACCAGTACCGTATGGCCCCGGATATAGGCGCCGTCCGATTAAAGACGCCGGTGCCTATATCTGGAGCATGGCGCTTATGGCCGTTCCTCGATTATAATCGCTCCCCCCTGTAAAACCCTGATTTATTTTAAGCGCATGCATAATTTTATTATTTTAATCCTGATTAAAACAGTAACGAATTTAGAATTTCAAGCGAGTCAGCACCCATTTTCACTTTGTTTGACTTTCGAGGTCATGACTGGTTTCGCGTCCAGTCAGGATGAGGTGGCACCCGGACAAATTGACTTGCGAAAAGCTATGTGCAGCGTCAGAGACTCGCCCTCACGCGATTCAAATTCAGGACGCTATAAAATGTCGACTCGATTGAACTTACGAGACGGAAATGTACAATTTGATGCGTTTAAGCCGTATTTCAGTATTTGTCATTATATAAGCGCCGGCGCTTATGGCCGATACTACCATAAATGAAAAGCCCTCCCCCTCCCCCCAAAAAAAAAACTGATTTTATTATAAGCGCATATGCGCTACTATCCGGGGTGATACGGTAGACTTGCAACTCACGCTCAGCATGTTGAATAATACTGTTCATATATATATTAGAGATGTATATATACATACATATATATATATACATGATTTATTTTGCATCTTGCTCTCCCTGTGCTGCTGGTGCGATATTTGGTGGAGTTTTCATCCTGACTTTACTCATAATATTAGTGAGATTCCTAACCATTTGGGTCTGGTATAATTGTGGGGGGAATTTAAGAATCAACTTTATGATTCAAAGTTAAGACAGCTGGTGTTCTGGACAGGAGGACCCGTCGCGCACCCCCTGCTTCCTCGTTATCCCGCAATCGAAGAAGCTTTTGAAAGTGTCCGTTTTAGCACCCATGTTGAATTCCACAACCAGAAACCATCTTCAGCTCGTGTTGTTGCACTGAAACGTCATGTCGCTGTTGCATCCGAGCAATGGAGTCAGCCGGAGATCGACAATGAACAATGCATCGCGGCTCTTAGCAAAAACGGCGTACTGAGGTTCTTATTGTGAGCCTGCTGACTGAAGCAGTTTTACAGAACCGTTCAGGATCGTTTAGCGAAGCTCATAATGTCGCGTACGCACGCGTCAAACCCTGGTGTCGTTGTCAGGCGACTCCAGGCGGCTTTCACTCGTCGCATTCTGCCTGTCGCCGTCGCGCTGACCGTCGCATACTTGGCGATCTTCGAGCTGCGACCCAGCCTGCTCTCCGCTGATACCTCACAGTCGTCGGGGTCGACGTTTTTCCCGCAAAGCGGCTGCGAGACGGCGAGGAACTGTCACGGTACACTGCTGGACAGATATGTTTATACCGCGGATGCGGATTTCGGGTAAGTTTTCAACGTTTACTTACCACAAAAGTCATTCGCCTTTGCAGAAGCTACAGACGGCCTTGAGCCAGCCATGCACTCCCACCTGTGCCATCAGTAAGTTTGAAACAACTTTCGAGGCGCCTCAAACTCACATTGTGTACCAGAGGCTTCTGCACTGAAGCCTTGCACGCGGTGGTCTCAAGAATTCATTGTGCGGGTTCATGTGCACGCTTGTTACAAGCACAAATTGCCAGCCTGTGTGTTCGAATCACCTCCTGTTCAGAGCGTGTGTTGTACGAGGTGGGGTGCAACTCGTCTGCCTCCACTCCCACACGTGCTCAGTCACGAGCCTTCCATCTGCCCGAGTGCCAAGCCATGTGGTAACCGGGTAGCTGCCTGCAGGCGAAGGAGCCTGGAGGGTGGACCGAAGGAGGGAGTATGTGATGTTACCACTGATTCCAAACCTGCCTCGATCGAGCCCCTTATCTCTGTTTTGTTCCAGCTCTAAACAATCTACGTGTGACTAGGTAGGTATGTGTGTGTGCGTGTGCCCTCCTCCACCTCCCTCCAGGCACCGATGCCTCAACAGCATTGTCACTCCCTCAATCACCAACCCATCCCGCCCATCATGGTGTTCGTTACTCTCTCTGCCTGCTCTGCTGCTGGCCTGGCAGGTGGAAGGACACGGGCAACCGCATGCGAGCCAAGGAGCCTGGAGGGTGGTGGACGGGGTATGTGCTGCTGGTGAACACCCACCGCTGGCTCAACCAATCCGTTACCAACCGATTCCATTGGTGGCACCACCTGACCCTTATTGTGAGCGCCTCTGACTGACTGACAGGCAATTGAGTTTCAAGCTGCATTATCTACCCTCAATGGCTGGTGGGAGCAAGCAGTGCACTGTAAACGATGAGCTTCACATTGGTCTCAATCGACCAACATGCCGAGCAGTGGTCTCACCCCATCTCGTGCACGTCACTGCGGTGTGACCATGTGGGTGCGGTTGGTCCAGCGTGGGTGCTGTTTGGTGCAGTGGGGGGCGGGGCCATGAGGTACTGTGCTATGGGATGCGGTGCCATGGGGTTCCAAATGGGTGCATATGCCGTGGAGTGGGGTGGCTGGCAAGGCAAGGTCTGAAGCCTCCCCTTCAACGCGTGCCTCCAGGCTGTCCTTCCTCTCTTGCTCTCCCAGGGTCCACATGTCATACCTAACGTGGGCTGTGTTCCGCGTGCACTTCCTCACTGCGGTGCGCGTGCCATTTGGTGCGGTGCGGAGGAGTGAGGTGAGGTGCTGAGGCCTGAAGAAGGCATTTAATGCACGCCTTCTGGCTGTCCTTCCTCCTCTCCCCCGCCCAGGCGCCAGACAAGACAACTTGGCTATTGCCAACCAACAAGGGCTTCTTCTCTTATTTACTGCCTTCTGCATTTCTTATGCTTGTCCTGTGCCTCTCCATCCCTCCTCTTGCCCGCCCAGGCGCCAGACAACATGTCGCGCGCCAGCAAGGGGCTCGTGCTGTTCTTCGTGGGGGCGGGGTTGAACGACCATGGTGGGGCCGGGGACGACTGGAGCTACCACATCCCCAAAGACTCCGATGTCTTCATCCGCGTCGCTGCCCCGTGAGTGGCGTGAGTGACAGGGAGGGGCATGCAGTGCAGTGCAGTGCAGTGCAGTGCGGTGCAGGTGGGCGTGAATGGGTGGGAGCAACGTGTGCGAAGGGGTGGAATGACCATGGCCGCGGATGACCGGCGCGCTACCACTTCCCCAAACAGACTGACGTCTTCATCCGCGTCGCTGCCCCGTGAGTGGCGTGAGTGGCAGAGAGTGGCGTGAGTGGCAGAGAGTGGCGTGAGTGGCAGAGAGTGGCGTGAGTGGCAGCTAAGTTGCGGAAGACTCGTCTAGTGACTTAGACGCTGGCGTCTAGACGCAACGTCTAAGACGCTAGACGCGCGTCTGGGCAGATTAGACGCTGGGATAGACGCAAGCTTGGGCAGGCAAAAAAAACGTAGTGGCAGCCAAAAACGTTCTATCGGGCATGAGGAGGGGGGGGAGAAGGACATTGCACACATTTTGGCAAAAAGGGTTGAGTGTTTTTGAAGGAGAATTGAGTTGAACTAGATATGAGGAGCACAGAAGAGGTGGCTGTGCTCCTATATACCTTTGGTGGTGGTCCACAAAGAGCTTTGGGATTGAAATTTAGGTCGCGGGTTAACAAGAACTGATTGGAGGGGCGATTTTGGTGGTCGAAATGGGTGGGGGGGGGGGGTTCAAATTTCGCAAATTTTTGCGTCGAAATCGCGATAACCAATTTCGCGCGCACGATTTTTTTTTTTATCGGGCTGCCCGAAAACTTTTCCCCCATGCGTCTAACGTCTTCGTGTGCGTCCGTCTTCCGCAACTTAGAGTGGCAGAGAGTGGCGTGAGTGGCAGAGAGTAGCGCGGTTGCAGTGATGGCTCTCACCATAGTGCAGGTGTGAGTGAGCACCATGGGAGTGGGAGTGGGAGCACCATGGGAGTGGGAGCACCATGGGAGTGGGAGCACATGCATGATGGTGCATCAGCAGCCCATGCATGATGGTGCATCAGCAGCCCATGCATGATGGTGCATCAGCAGCCCATGCATGATGGTGCATCAGCAGCCCATGCATGATGGTATGGTGCATCAGCAGCCCATGCATGATGGTGCATCAGCAGCCCATGCATGATGGTGCATCAGCAGCCCATGCATGATGGTATGGTGCATCAGCAGCCCATGCATGATGGTGCATCAGCAGCCCATGCATGATGGTGCATCAGCAGCCCATGCATGATGGTGCATCAGCAACCTCCTCCTCTGTCCCCTCCACTCTGCTGTACCTCCATGCAGGCTGGTGGGGGATCTGGGCATGCTGGGCGACATGCTGCACCAACAGCCCATGCCTTTCAATCACCTTGTGCCCCTGGCATCTTCATTCCTTCCCACCCACACACCCCTTCCAACCCCGCCTCCCAATGCCATGCATGCAGGCTGGTGGTGGATCTAGGCATGCTGGGCGTCATGCTGCACCAGCAGCCCATGATGCCCATCACCTTCTATTCCTCCCCGCCTGGCGTCAGCAAGAGCATGAGCCAAGAGCTTATGGAGGAGGAGATCACAGCCTGTAAGCGAGTCAGCTTATACCAGGTCCATATCCCCCCTGATGTCAGCTGGAGCAAAAGATACCAAGATTTGCACGCATAGGATATTGCAGTCTGTAAACGAGCAGCGTAAGCCAAGATGTGCTAGAGGAAGATTCAGTAAGCCTATAGTCTGCCTTATTCCTGCTGATGTCAGCAGCAGTAGCGATACCCCACCTAATAGCTGGTGGTGCAGGAAAGGAGTGCATGCGAGGAGGTGAGTGCATGTGAGGAGGTGAGTGCATGTGAGGTGAGGAGATGAGTGCATGTGAGGAGATGAGTGCAGAATCTCACTTTCCTTCCCTCGCCCATTCCTTGTCCTCTCCCCTCCCCTCACCTGCCTCACCTCACCTGCCTCACCTCACCCGCCTCACCTGCCCCCTTCACGCACTTGGTCCGCCAGTCACGCTGGGCATGGCACTGCACGACCCCAGCACGCCCGAGTGGACCATCTACATGCCCATGGCCAAGTCCCTCGTCCGCGCCATGGATGCCACCCAGCTCGCCGCTCGAGAGCTGCTGCCGCACGTGCCGGTGAGTGCCGTAGCTTGCTGGGGTACTGGGTGAGTGGATTGCAAGGCCCCCTCAAGCCTCTCCTCTTACCGAGTGGACCATCTACATGCCCATGGCCAAGTCCCTCGTCCTCGCCCCCGATGCCACCCAGCTCGCTGCCAGGGAGCTGCTGCGGCACGTGCCCGTGAGTACTGCTGCTGCTGCTGTTGCTGCCTCAGTGGTGTTGCTTGCCTTGCAAGGTCCGGTCTTCCTTGCGTCAGTTGTGTAAGGCTCCCTTCCGCCTCTGCCCATGGCCAAGTCCGCCATGCGTGCCATGGATGCCATGGATGCCATGGATGCCATGGATGCCACGGATGCCACGGATGCCACGGATGCCACGGATGCATGGATGCCATGGATGCCATGGATGCCATGGATGCCATGGATGGCATGGATGCCACGGATGCCATGGATGGCATGGATGCCATGGATGCCATGGATGCCATGGATGCCATGGATGCCATGGATGCCATGGATGCCATGGATGCCATGGATGCCATGGATGCCATGGATGCCATGGATGCCATGGATGCCATGGATGCCATGGATGCCATGGATGCCATGGATGCCATGGATGCCATGGATGCCATGGATGCCATGGATGCCATGGATGCCATGGATGCCATGGATGCCATGGATGCCATGGATGCCATGGATGCCATGGATGCCATGGATGCCATGGATGCCATGGATGCCATGGATGCCATGGATGCCATGGATGCCATGGATGCCATGGATGCCACGGATGCCACGGATGCCACGGATGCCACGGATGCCACGGATGCATGGATGCCATGGATGCCATGGATGCCATGGATGCCATGGATGGCATGGATGCCACGGATGCCATGGATGCCATGGATGCCATGGATGCCATGGATGCCATGGATGCCATGGATGCCATGGATGCCATGGATGCCATGGATGCCATGGATGCCATGGATGCCATGGATGCCATGGATGCCATGGATGCCATGGATGCCATGGATGCCATGGATGCCATGGATGCCATGGATGCCATGGATGCCATGGATGCCATGGATGCCATGGATGCCATGGATGCCATGGATGCCATGGATGCCATGGATGCCATGGATGCCATGGATGCCATGGATGCCATGGATGCCATGGATGCCATGGATGCCATGGATGCCATGGATGCCATGGATGCCATGGATGCCATGGATGCCATGGATGCCATGGATGCCATGGATGCCATGGATGCCATGGATGCCATGGATGCCATGGATGCCATGGATGCCATGGATGCCATGGATGCCATGGATGCCATGGATGCCATGGATGCCATGGATGCCATGGATGCCATGGATGCCATGGATGCCATGGATGCCATGGATGCCATGGATGCCATGGATGCCATGGATGCCATGGATGCCATGGATGCCATGGATGCCATGGATGCCATGGATGCCATGGATGCCATGGATGCCATGGATGCCATGGATGCCATGGATGCCATGGATGCCATGGATGCCATGGATGCCATGGATGCCATGGATGCCACGGATGCCACGGATGCCACGGATGCCACGGATGCATGGATGCATGGATGCCATGGATGCCATGGATGCCATGGATGGCATGGATGCCATGGATGCCACGGATGCCATGGATGCCATGGATGCCATGGATGCCATGGATGCCATGGATGCCATGGATGCCATGGATGCCATGGATGCCATGGATGCCATGGATGCCATGGATGCCATGGATGCCATGGATGCCATGGATGCCACGGATGCCACGGATGCCACGGATGCCACGGATGCCACGGATGCATGGATGCCATGGATGCCATGGATGCCATGGATGGCATGGATGGCATGGATGCCACGGATGCCATGGATGGCATGGATGCCATGGATGCCATGGATGCCATGGATGCCATGGATGCCATGGATGCCATGGATGCCATGGATGCCATGGATGCCATGGATGCCATGGATGCCATGGATGCCATGGATGCCATGGATGCCATGGATGCCATGGATGCCATGGATGCCATGGATGCCATGGATGCCATGGATGCCATGGATGCCATGGATGCCATGGATGCCATGGATGCCATGGATGCCATGGATGCCATGGATGCCATGGATGCCATGGATGCCTGGCACCTCACTGCTTGACATAGATGTAGGAATGCATTCACGCATGGGGGTTGGGATGCACGGGGGTACTGATGCGTGGGGGGGGGAGGGGGGGGGGGTGGGGTAAGGAAGGACTGCACTTGTTATGAGCTGTTGCCTGAAATTGGCTTGGGTGACTAACTGCGAAGTCCGGGCCGATCCATCTCCCCCTGCCCCGCCCCAGTCATAACGGGCCCGCCCGGGGGTGGCCAGTCTGCAATGATGCCTGGCCCACGGCCCACGGCCCACGGCACGTCCGTCCACCATAGACGCTCCTAGGCGCTGGATGATGAGTGATGGATGCATGTATGGATGTATAAGAGTGATGGATGGGATGGGAGATGGATGGGATGGGATTTGGATGGGATGGGTGATGATGGATGTATGCGAGTGATGGATGGGATGGGAGATGATGGATGGGATGGGAGATGGATGGGATGGGAGATGGATGGGATGGGAGATGGATGGGATGGGAGATGGATGGATGACACATCTTGCATTCCAGCCTCACTACTGCCATCTCTCTCCTTCAGCCCAACCCATACCACTCTCTCTCCTCCCTGATCTTGCATGCCGTGCGTGCCTCATTCCCCATTCTTCCCCTCCCCACCCCCCCCCCCCCCCCCCCCCCCCCCTCCGCCAGGTGGAGGGCTTTGTGAGTGTCGGAGTGAGCTAGCGAGCATGCATGGCTTGGCTCTCTGCCGCGCTCGATAAGGCACGTACCCCTGCTTTCTTTTGTATAAAACGGCTTGTTTCTGTGTGTGCATTTGCCCTTTCAATTTGGGGTTTTAATTCATCTGAAACCGATCGTGCCTTTACATTATTGCCTTCACATTGCATCTCCTCGTTCCTTTCCACATCGTCATTTCTTTTGCCCTCAGCATGCCCCCACTCTCTCCCTCTCTCCCTCTTCAAACCCAGCTGGCCTCAACCACCCGATCTTTGCTCCTTACCTCCCGCCACCCACTCTGCCCCTCTCTCTCTTCTCTCCCCACAGCGAGTGGTGGCGTTCATATCGTACGGCTACGATCTCATCAACTTTCAGCCCAACATGCAGCACCTGCTGGACTCCTTGGGTGCTGTTCCCATCCTGGGGCGGTTCTACGTGGATTACAACCTCACTCGCTTCCTGCACACCCCACAGCTGCGCCACATCCTGGTGAGAAGGGAGGGATTGAGAGATAGAGAGGGTTAGAGATGGATGGATAGGAAAGGATGGCAGCGTCTGCACCCGGAGAGGGCGCTGCCTGCTGTGGCGCCAAGAGGGCGCTGCCTGCTGTGGCGCCAAGAGGGCGAGGAACTCATCCCCCGCCCCAAACACTTTGCTTGCGGTTTCTCCGCAAATGTGCTCGGGCGGGAGATCGGCATCGACGCATGAGTCGACTGGAGAACACGCGCCAGTGCCTTTAGGCACTCGGACAGAATCCACAGCTGACGCAGGGCCGCCGTGGAACATGGATACTCCTCCTCCTCGAGGCGAGGACGGCGGGAGGTACGGATCGCGATATGGACCCCTCGCGGTGCCACCCCCGGCGCCAAGAAAGCCAGGAACCCAGAGGGTTGCTGAACAGAGCGCTGCGGGGACGCAGCACGGTCGGCCACTTCAACAATGGCGGGAAGAGCACGAGGAGCAAGAGGAGCAGCCGGCAGAACTGCTTGGCTGGTCGTCACCGCCTGCGACTCATGGAGTGCATTCGCGAGTGCGTGCGAACTGCTCCAGGGCGCACGCAACGTCAGGCGTTGATTGGCGACCTCCCCCCCCGCGACCGTGACCTCCTCACGCCTCCCGCGGCTGTTTGACCACGAGCGCGCAGTGAGAATTGGGGCCGGGAAGTTCTGCGCGGGCGTCGCGCAGGGGACCTCTCACGGCGCGATGGGGAATGACGCCGCTGGCGCTTCTCCGGCAACTCGCGTGGAGAGCGGCGAGCAGGAGAGCTATGCCCTGTGGAATGGTGCACGGGTGAACGACGGCGAGGCGACTGGCGAGATGAGGAACGGTGACGTGGCACGCGACGCCCAGGAGATTGGCTCTGGTGGATGAGGTCAGTCGACCAGGGGACTTGTGCTCACGGCGATCTTCACGACGCCCCTCGCGGAGTTCGTCGCGAACCTGAGGCGAACGGCGAGGAGAACGCGGCTCCGCCAGGGCGCCGGAATGAACGGCAGACCCAGCTCGGGCTGCCTCCTTCGGAGACGACAAACCAGCGGCGCGCTGCTCAAGTGCACGCTGCTGGTCCTCAAATCAGTGCCGGATCTGGTCAGCGGCAGCAAGAGGACGAGCAGGGACGCTCTCCGCGGTACACTCGCGCTCGTTGGCAGACGGAAGCTACATCTGAGCACTCACAGGGCGCAACACCAACATCAGGGAGCCGACGATGCCAGCCTTCCCTACGGAACAGGCGGCGCTAGCTGCGGTAACCCCGCGGAGTGGATGGGGGAGCACGCAGGGGAGAGGATTGCGCAGAGGAGCGTGCGGAGGACAGAGGGGCGCAGCGGCAAGAGGACACTCCTGCCAGCAGCCGAGCCCGATCTGGCTGGGGGAGCAGGTGGAACGAGTCACGAGGCGCACGGCGAGAGGCGGTCCATCAGCGCAAGCGGGGAGGATCGGTGATACAAACACAGATGCGAGTGATGACAATTATATGCCGTCAGATCTGAGGAAACTTGACAAACCCGACTCACCTCACCTCTGAGGCCACAGACAGCATCCCCAAGCCCAGCCCCCACTGGAAAAATCCTATCAGCGTCCGAGCTGGCCTCGCGGGAGGATCTTTTTTAGATCGCGATGAGCTGGGACTTATCACTCCTAAACTCCATCACCCACCAACCGATTGTCCGCCGCCTGCCGCCGCAGATCTTACGCGACTATGTCACCTGTATGTTGGCTGCCCTGTTACGAATCTCAAAGTTGCCTAACTGCGCGGGAGCCTGACGGGTCCTCATGTTCCTGCCACGTCTCACGCCACGACTTCGCAGGAGATCCAGCTCTAGGTCGAAATTGCTTGGAGCACAGATGCATCTGTTCCGATGTGGACACTGGACTCGGCTCTACACTGACTACGTGGGGTCACTGCACGTGGCCGAGCCACCTCAGCACCAACGTGGCCCCCTGGGGATCTGCTCACGAGCGGAGGGGTTGGTGAAACGTGGTAACATGTGAAAGGCGTTATAGCACTCTGAACCTGAGTGTCGTAGGTGCTGATGGCTCTCTGAACCTCGCCATCAGAACCTACGACACTCAGGACACTGCAGCAGCTGAAATCGAAACACCCCCAACCCCAAATTGACATGCCTGACTTACGCCACACCCACGCAATTTTCAATCACCTCGAAAGGTTTCTCCAACGTCCTCGCAAAATGCCCCAACGAATTTGGGGCAAGCCCATCGGGGTCAACCTTCGAACATTTCCGCGACCCTGCCCTGAGCAACATCTAAGTACTGGAGCACCTCCACTTCGCCGTAACACACTTACCTTACTCTTGACCAACCTTTCCACCGAGGTTGCAGCCCTACACGCCCCGTCCCGCCTAATAGCCTTCGCCAAACCAGGAGGGAGGGTGCGCCCCATCGCGATAGGAGAGTCATTTCTTAGGTTGGCAGTGAAAGTTGCGCTATCAGAACCTCAAGGAGAAATGCGCAGGTGTTTCTTACCCCAGCAATTCGGTGTGGCAGTTCCGGGAGGGGCAGAATTCGTCATCCATGCAGTCAGAGATCTCATCTCGGTGCAGCCCTCCAGCCTGGTCCTTCAACTCGACATTGAGAACGCGTTCAACTCAATCGAGAGGAGCGCGCTCTTCCATGCACTCCTTGACTCCCCTCTAGCACCTCTCATCCCCTTCACACGCTTTTTCTATGCAACATCATCGCGGCTGCTGCTAGGTCCGAGCTTGAATTCCGCGCCACTCACCAGCGGAAGCGGGGTCAGACAAGGGGATCCCCTAGACCCCCTGCTATTCGCGGCATCTATCCAGCAACACGTCAGACATGTAGCAGCGGAGCACCCCCGGATGTCACGGTCCTTGCATACGCAGACGACATAACTCTGATAGGACCAGCGCCGGCGACGCTGGGCGCGCTAAGGGAGCTAACGCCGCTACTAGCACAGGACTGCCTCACCTACAACCTTGCCGCTTGTAGCTGATGCGTGGTCCACCACGCTGCTTGTAGCTGATGCTCTCCCTGAGGGCCTACCCCTATAATATGAGGGGATACGGGTGCTTGGAAGTCCCGTGGGCACGTAGAGCTTCTGCTATGACTTTGTTCGCAGCACCTTGACAGAAGCAGCGGCTCCCTTGGGGTCGCTGGCGTCCATCCACCCACAGCATGCTCCCCTGCTTCTCTCTCGGTGCATCAGTCGCAGAATCGGTTAACTACTGCATACGACCCCGGCAGACGTCTTTCCTCTCTCGGAGTGGCACACATGGTGCGCCGAATCGTTGGACACAGACTTGACCGCCGCCAGCATTCAACCGCCACGTCGAGTGGCTGGGTTCAACTTTCTGCTACGACAAGCAAAAGTGCCAATCCCCTTGGGCGGACTGGGCCTCACAGACCCCACCACAGAAGCAGCACCGGCTTACCTGGCGTCAACAACGGAAGCGCTACGACTACTCCGCACTCTCGACTTACCGTCGGCCGCAGCGCTGGGGGCCAACAACAACCTCCTGTAGCCCTCATCAACGCATTCTGTTCGGTCACGATCAGGGACATGGAAAGACGCCTTCCGCCGCTCGCGCTGCAACCCCTCCGAGAGGAACAGCAAAGCCCGCAACGCATCCTCTTACAGGGGGTTCACGTGGCAAAAGTTGAGGCTCTAACCGAGGACTCCCGCACAATCCAATCAGCCCCAGAATTGGGACACACCCTCCGTCTCATCAGCCTGAGAGGCGAAGGAGCGGGAGCGTGGCTGCAGGCAGGCTCTACCATCGACCCGGGACCTCTGCTTCTCAACTGGTCAATTCCGAGCAGCCCTTGCCTTCCGTGTGGGCATCCAACAGAACGTGCCTATCGTGTGCGAGTGCGACGAACTTGTGGCCGACTGCAGCCTACCCATCCACCTCCTCCGCTGCAGCACTGGCCCGGACAGGACACGTACCCACAACAACCAGCTGGCATTTGCAGTGGCAAAGATGGCTAGGGAGGCGCAGCTGGTGGTGTACCTTGAGAATGCGATGTACGCACTGCCGGACGACCCGAAGAAGGCGGATGTCATCGTGCGCGCTGACTTATGAGTCGACTCAAAAGTCGACCCTGGCAGCGAGGTGACGTGGATCACCGATACCACCATCACTAACCCCGTGCTGCAGAATTGAGACCCCACAGCTTGCAAGCCCCCAAAGTGGGCAGCAAGAGAAGCACAGAGGCGAAAGGAGAGAGACTACTACCAGCACACTTAACACGTGGTGTTCTACACCCTGGCCGTCGAGACGTATCGGGCAAATGCGCCACCCACGACGGCGTTTCCGGAGCCGCTAGTTACAGCAGCAGCGAAGAACCGCTTCAGGGCCAACCCCTTGGCGAAATCCGCCTAGAAGATGGCCTGCCATGGTGGTTGTTTCTTCCCTGGGTGCCGTGCCCATCTCGGGGTGGTTCTACGTGGATTGCAATCTCACCCGCGTCCTGCACACACCACAGCTGCACCACATCCTGGTGTGAGGTCGGGGTTTGGGGCCCAGGTATGGAAAAAAGTGTAGAGTTTAGGGAGGGAGGTAGGCAGGGGCGGAGTGGGAGGGGGGGTGGTCTCGCGAAGTTCTAGTCAATAGCCCAGCCCGAAAGCTCTCCAGCCATGCATCTGGGAACGCTATTAAAAAAAAAAATCAAAACCCTTCTCTTTCACTCCACGCCTGACAGACAACAAATGCCACTGATTCAGAAGCTCTTCCCCCCCTCCCTTCCCTCTTTCCCTCCCACTCCCTCCCCAAACCGTCCCACCACCACCCCCCCTTCTCCCCCCCCCCACCCCTTCCCCGCCAACCCCACAGAGCTACACGGACCCGTACTTCTTCCGGGAGCGCCTCACCATGCCCAAGCTGCTCATCGCCGCCTCCAATGACGAGTTCTTCTTGATGGACGACTCGTGAGTGCACGTCCCCCTTTTGATGCGTGTCCACATAGCCTTGACGGATGACTCGTGAGTGCCCCATGCCTCGCTAAGCCCCCTTCATTGCTGCTGAATAGATGACTTGTGAGTGTCGCATGGATGACTCGTACGCACGCCCCCTTTACTGGCTGTCCGTTTAGTGCGCGTCCCCTTAAGTGAATGTTTGTTATGCTTTTTTGCACTTCCCCCCATTCATTTGCAGGGAAAATTGCTCACGTATTTAGAATTTTATACGCGGAAAAAATTGCATGTTTTGTTTCCCATTAAGTGCGCATCCCATGTCACAGCACTTGCGCACGTGCCAAGACATGTGTGTTTCTGCTGTCTCAACTTCCTCTCGCCAATACGAGTACTCTCACATAATCGTTCGAGGCACCTCAGAATGCCACACACCCTTCATTTCTCTTCGCACACAAACCTTTTTGTCACCCTTGCTGACTCCATGTGCACGCACGCGTCCATTCCTCACACTCACTCTCCCCGCGTGGGTGCGCCTGGCAGGTACTTCTATTTCAACGACTTACCACCGCCCACGCTGCTTAAAATCGTGGCCAACGTGGACCACATGGTCATTCAGAAGTCATACTGGGTACGTACGTACTGCGGAGATAACTACTACAACGGGAGCAGGACTACGGGAGAGGCACGGTTGCGTGAGTGATCGTAGCGTTCCTTGGTGTTCTCTAACAATTGTGCGTCCACAGGGCAAAACTGCAAGCGTTTTACTAGCGAAAATTGAGAACAATGATCTACAATATCAAAGCAACACTGACTACGTCAGATGCTAGTAAGCAAGCAGGTCGACTGACAGCAGAGCACGGTCGACCCCCTTCCAGCACAACGGAGTCCACACCGCTGCAGCGCTGCAAAGAAGCAGCTTGCCGACGTTGCAAGTCGAGGGCGTGCCAACGCTGCAGCAAGGCGGCTGCACAGATTTGCGCCCGCATGACAGCAGCGCACCAGCTTCGCAGGTGCCGGCAGTTAGTTGGCGTGATGTGCCCCGTCACGTGCACAGCGCAGTCGCCAAGCCGACCGCGTGCCCATGACTGCACCTGATCAGCCATGTCGACCTCGGGATACCACCTCCGAAGTCGGCTTTGCTAGAACCGCCTCGGCGACCGTCGCGCACCTCCGCAGAACTCCGTCGCCGGGTAACCTGGTTGACCGGGCAACCACGTCGACCAAGTGCTGCTCCTCGTGCCCGTCGACGACCACCTCCCGCCGTCTTCACCTAGTTGGCTACTCCCCTCAAGTCGACCACCTCTGGCTGACCAGACCTGCTGGTCGCCGACTGCAACCAGCCGGATTCCCTCAGTTGGCGCCATGAAGTCGGAGCCCTCCCAGCTCCGCGCCACCACGGCGCCTCTCAGGTCAGCGCCACCAAATCGGCGCCTCCCAGGTCGACCTCCTAGAAGAAGTCGGCCGCCGGCATTCCTAAGTCGGCGAATTATGCAGTGGCCCCATGCAGGTCGACCACCTCTGTCGACCTGCGCGCCAAAGTCGGCGTCACCCACTGCTGCTGTTCGGCTGCACCTCCCGTACACCCGACCACGAAGTCGGCTCCGCCCAAGCGAGGTTGGGGCCAACACACAACTCCCGCTGACACGTGCCGCCTCGCCTTGCCCTCCATCCTACTTTTGTCTCAGCGGGAACACCCTTTCCCTCCAATCCTCTTCTCTCCTGCAACTCGTGTTTTGAGACTGAGCACTCATTCAGATGTCACAGTGGGTAAGGTACTCCGTTTCTCTCTACCCTCCCCATCCACTCCCATGCCCCTTCTCACTTTCACTCTTCTCTCCACCTTCCCATCAACAACGCGAACTCCTTCTCAACCTGGCTAGCCAACCCTTTTCACTTCTGTCAACCCCTTCCGCCTCACCCTTGTGCCGTCTCGACTCTCGCTCCTTCCTCACACCTTCACCCGCCTCTGTTTCTGCTTCGTCTGTGGCCATCCCCTTCTTTTATCCCCTCCCTCTCCTCCACCCCCCCCCAACCCCTCTCCCTCCCCATCCTCCCCCCCCCCCCCCAACACTGCCGACATCTCCTTCCGCTTCTCACCCCTATTTCCTGCTGCCTTTATTTCGTTGTCACCCCTCCCCCTCCTTGGTTCTCTTGCTGTCTCCCACCGAATCTTTCAGGCCTATGATGCTGCCATCTCCTTCCTCTCCTCTCTCCTCCACGTCAACTCGTCCTGCGCCTCTCGCCCCGCCTCCTCCCGCCCCTCCCTCACCTGGACTCGGCCCACCACCCCCACCCCCGCCTCCCTCATTCCCCACACCACCTCCACCTCTCCAGACCCAACTCCCTTTCAAAACTCTCACAGCTCTCAGCCTTCCAGTCTCACAGACGCAGAGGCAGCAGCAGTGGGGGCGGCAGTGGGGGCAGCAGTGGCTGCGGCACAGAACCCCCCCTGGGAGTGTGTTCCTGATCTGCCAGATGTTGATTGGCCGCGGCTGAGGTGGCAGTTTGATTGGCCCACGTTCACCATCCATGCCACGTCAGACAGGAAACCACTGGCTGTTAGGGCATGGTGAGGGGGAGGAGGGGGGAGGGGGGAGGAAGTGGAAGAGGGAAACGGGGGAGGGGAAGGAAGGCATTGGCGGATAGAGCGTGGTGAGAGATGGGGAGGGTAATGGGTAGGGTGATGGCGGATGGGGTTGGAGAGGGTGATAAAGGAGGAGTGCATACGTGGCGGGGAGTGCTAGTAGGAAGGAATGGAAGGAGCAGGACTCTCTGTCCGCCCCGCTATGAGTCACATGATTCCCATGCCCCTCCTCTCCCTTGCTGCAATGCAGGACGGGGCGCACGAGGCCGGGCAGCAAGCGGCGGGACTTCCGGTTCATTGTGAAGCAAGGGCTCACCGGGTGGTGAGTGCAGGCGAGGTGTTGGATTGAGGCTCAGATGACTGGTGGGTGATCGTGCTGGTTGGGTCCTCTCATCTCGACTTGCGGTTCATTGTCAAGCTGGGGCTCACCGGGTGGTGAGTGTGGTAGAGGGGAGGTGGTTGGGTGGTGAGTGTGGTAGAGGGGAGGTGGTTGGGTGGTGAGTGTGGTAGAGGGGAGGTGGTTGGGTGGTGAGTGTGGTAGAGGGGAGGTGGTTGGGTGGTGAGTGTGGTAGAGGGGAGGTGGTTGGGTGGTGAGTGTGGTAGAGGGGAGGTGGTTGGGTGGTGAGTGTGGTAGAGGGGAGGTGGTTGGGTGGTGAGTGTGGTAGAGGGAGGTGGTTGGGTGGTGAGTGTGGTAGAGGGGAGGTGGTTGGGTGGTGAGTGTGGTAGAGGGGAGGGGAGGTGGTTGGGTGGTGAGTGTGGTAGAGGGGAGGTGGTTGGGTGGTGAGTGTGGTAGAGGGGAGGTGGTTGGGTGGTGAGTGTGGTAGAGGGGAGGTGGTTGGGTGGTGAGTGTGGTAGAGGGGAGGTGGTTGGGTGGTGAGTGTGGTAGAGGGGAGGTGGTTGGGTGGTGAGTGTGGTAGAGGGTGCGGAGATAACTAGTGCAACGGGAGCTAGACTACGGGCTAGGCACGGGGCAAGAGTGATCGTAGCATTCGTTCGTTCCTTAGTCGTTTCCAAGTGCTAAACTGCTTGCTAGTTCACGGGGAAAATTGGCAAGAGTTTCACTAGGAAAACATGAAAACAAAAGTTCAGAATGATTGCATCAACATTGGCAACACAGACTACATCAGACCTAGCAAGGCTGCTGGTCGACTGCCAGCGCAGCACGGTCGACCGCGTGCCAGCACGACTTGGTCGACCGCGCTCCAGCAGAGCAGAGTCGCGGCTTGCCAACGTTGCCAGTCCGCGGTGTGCCAACGCTGCAGTAATTCGGCTGCACAGCGTTGCATCCGCGGGACAACGGTGCACCAGCTTCGCAGGTGCGTGCAGCTGGTTGGCGCCCAACTCCCCGTCACATGCCCAGCGCCGACACTTCACCCGTGACGGCGCCCACCAGCCACGTCCACCTCGGGATACCACCCCCGAGGTCGTCTTCGTAGACAACATCCCCGGCGACTTTCGCGCACGTCGCCCGGGTATCCTGGTTGACCGGGTATTTCGCGGTCCTCCCGCGGTTTCGCGGCCCCCGCGGTCCTCCCGCGGTTTCGCGGCTCCATGGTCCTCCCGCGGTTTCGCGGCTCCCACAGTCCACCGCGATTTCGCGGCTCCCACGGTCCACCGCGATTTCGCGGCTCCCACGGTCCACCTCGATTTCGCGGCTCCCACGGTCCTCCGCGATTTCGCGGCCGCCGCGGTCGGCTCCGCCCAAGCGAGGACGGGGCCAAACACAACTCTCGTTGACACTCCGCGGTGTCCTTCGCGGTTTCCTTCGCGGTTTCCTCTGCGGTCTCGTCCGCGGTCTCCTTCGCGGTGTCCTTCGCGGTTTCCTTCGCGGTTTCCTCCGCGGTGTCCTTCGCGGTTTCCTTCGCGGTGTCCAAAGTTGGCTGCACCTCCGCGGCGCGCTTCTCCGCGACTGGCTGGGCATCACGTCGGCCACCGGCGATGCTCTTGGCCGGCGCCACAGGCGACGCCCCACGGCTCCCCTCATCGCCGGAGGCCGACACCGGAGTCAGGCCACGCAGTTCGACGGGAAGGGAATGGGAAGAAGGGGCAGGAGATGGCGAGGCAGGGGCGACCGCGGCATCCTCGTCAGCCTGCTCACCGACCACGGCGAGCAGAGGAAGCGTCGCCGTCGAGGTGTCCGTCGGCGGGTTGGCCCGCGTCCGCCCCGACGCAGGCCCGAGGTCTGACTTCCACACCTCCTGCGACAGAGTTTCGTAGAACACCACATCCGACGTGGTGACCACCCGGTTGGCGGTGATGTCGAGGAGCTCCCAGCCTTTGCTCTCCTCCGACACGCCGAGGTGAAGGCCCCACCTGGCCTTCGGCTTCAGCGTCCCACCGCGCTGCTGCTCAGGGACGAGGAATTGCGCCATGCAGCCCCACACCCGCGCCATCGACAAGTCGGGCTTCTGCCCGGTGAGGAGCTGGTACGGCGTCGTCCCCGCGGGCAGCGACGACCGCTCCAGGCAGTTGCGAACCCAGACGGCCTGCCGCAGAGCGAGATGCCACCAGTGGTGCTGTACGCCCATGTGCAGCAGCATCGTCTGCACCTATTCCACCGCCGTCCTCATCTCCCGCTCCGCCATGCCATTCTGTTGCGGGGTGTAAGGGCAGGTCAAGTCGTGAACGATGCCCTTGCTGTCCACGAAGGCGGTGAAGTCCTTCCCGAGGAACTCCCCTACGCGGTCAGAACGCAGTTGCAGCACCGAATGCTTCGCCTGCCGCTCCACCAGCACCAGCCACTTCTGGAACTCCAGCAGCACGTCCGACTTCTTGGCGACCGGCCTCACCCACACATAGCGGGTCTTGCGGTCCTTCAGCAGCAAGAAGTACAGGCTGCCGTCCTTGGCAGCCACGCGAAATGGCCCGCACAAATCGATGTGCACGACGGCCAGGACGTCGTCGGCTTCGGAGCCGTGGTCGGGGAAGGTGTGCCACGCCAGCTTCCCGCCGACGCACGAAACACACGGTGAGTCGGCGCCAGACGCCGACTGGAGGTCCAGCCCGGTGGCGACCCCGTGCTTCGCCGAGCTCCGTATGGTGTCCATGCCAACATGCGCAAGCCTCGCGTGCAGCCTGTTCGGGGTTGCCTTCGTCGCCGAGACTATCGCCCGCAGAGCCACCTCCTCTTTCGCGGGCGTCGCCGATTTGGCCACGCATGGGCGCAGGTCAGTGCAGAGGACCCGGCCGGTGTACGTCGCGCGACCGAGCACGTCCCCCGTCGCGGAGACGAGCAACATCCGGTCGCCGTCGTCCTTCAGCGTCACCCCGCTCTCCTTCAGCTGGCCAGCCGAAAGCAGATTCGCCTGCACGCCCGGGACGTAGAGAACGTCGGAGATGAGCACCCGCTTCCCGGCCTCCCCTTGCAGCGCAACCGTGCCACGGCCGCGAACGTCCTGCAGCGCCCCATTGAAGCCACGCACGTGTTTCACGTCGCCACTCGGCCCCAAGTCGACGAAGGCCTCCTTCGTCCCCATCAGGTGGTGCGAGCAGCCGCTGTCGAGCAGGACCACCGCGGGGTTCGCTTGCACAGCTGCTGCCACCGCCTGGAAATCCTCGCCAGCTTCCGGCGCCAGCGAGACGGTCGGCTCGACGATACCGACCAGCGAGCACGACGCCTCCTTGTCGCCTCGCCCTTTTCCACCCGCGGAAGAGTCGGCGTCCTTCGCCGTAGTTGACTTCGTCAACTGCTTCTCCTTTCGCGGCTGGTTTCCTTGACGCGGACGACGGCTGCCAGACCTCCCGCGGCCTCCCTTGGTTTCGTCGTCGTCCGAGTCACTGCGGTCGGGACACTCGAAGGAGAGGTGATCGGGATCGCCGCACAGCCAGCATTCCCGACGTCGACCTCCTCCTCCACGACCGCCATCCTTGACAGACTTCTGCTTGTCAGCGTCCTTCGCCGGCTTCCTGCCACCGCGGTGACTGCCACCAGACTGCCCGCGCTGTCCCGGGCGACCACCTTGCTTCGCGGGGGCGACGAAATGTACTTGCGCGAGGAGCTCCTGGGATCGCTCCGCCTCCTGCATCGCCTCGTCCTGCAGGATGTACGAGGTCAATGTGTCCTCGTTGAGCGTCGCTCGCGTGCTCGGCGCCATCGACAGCCGCTTCAGCAGGTTGTAGCTGCTCGGGAGTCCCTGCATAACGTGTGTAACGTACGACGCTGTTGAGTATTCCGCGCCAGCCATCCGAATGGTGGCGAGAATTCGCCGAGCTCGGTTGCAGTAGTCAGTCGCGGTCTCCTCGTCGCCCATACGCAGGTGCGTCAACTGCCCCTCAAGCTGGGCGATGAACAAGTCGTCGATGACCTGGTAAGTTGACTCGATGAAATGCCACGCCCGGTGGCCAGCATCGAGGTACTCCCTGCACGACTTCAGGGCGATCTGTACGCCCGGCGAGCAGCACCGCGAAATGACCGTAAAGGTCAGCAGCTGCACGGCGCGAAATTCCGCGCGCAGGTCGGGGTAGTGCTCCTCCGGCGTCGCCACGGTCCCGCGGGCGAAGCCCATCAGCCCGGCCATCTCCAGCTGGGGCTCGATGGCTTCCGTCCACGTGAGGATGTCGGGACGACCGACCAGCAGAGGGGTGACCGAGATCCTGTCCGGCGTAAACTTGAAGTAGCCGTAGCTCGGCGCAATTCCTCCCGCGGTCACGTGTGTCGCCGACATCGACGCCAATTCACTTCGTCTGCCTCCGACGTAGTTTCGCGGGGCCCCTGCAGGTGCCGATGACTGCATCCCTCGCGCCTGAACGCCGCCGACTTCATCGGCGTGAATCACACCTCGCTGCCTCGACGTGCCTCCCGCGCTGCTACCGACTTGGTCACCCGCGGCGTTGATTCCCGCGTCGACGCCGCCTGCGTTGTTCACCGGTCGAGGAGATGCAGGCCGAGAAGGGGGGTGCTCCGCCGCCCACAAGGCGCGGATGCCAGCCTCGACCACCGTCAGCGGGAGAGTTCCGTACTCGTTCGCCGCATGACGTCTCCTCGCGTCCTCCAGCCGTGCTTCCAAGGTGTCCACGACACCCGCCTCTACTACAGGGTCCACCATGGCGTCCAACACAGCCGCCGGTCTACGAACAAACTAGGTGAGTGAGAAGTCAGCTAAACCGAAGGTTTCTTCGCGGTGTCGTCCACGCTCACCGCACCATGCGGAGATAACTAGTGCAACGGGAGCTAGACTACGGGCTAGGCACGGGGCAAGAGTGATCGTAGCGTTCGTTCGTTCCTTAGTCGTTTCCAAGTGCTAACACTGCTTGCTAGTTCACGGGGAAAATTGGCAAGAGTTTCACTAGGAAAACATGAAAACAAAAGTTCAGAATGATTGCATCAACATTGGCAACACAGACTACATCAGACCTAGCAAGGCTGCTGGTCGACTGCCAGCGCAGCACGGTCGACCGCGTGCCAGCACGACTTGGTCGACCGCGCTCCAGCAGAGCAGAGTCGCGGCTTGCCAACGTTGCCAGTCCGCGGTGTGCCAACGCTGCAGTAATTCGGCTGCACAGCGTTGCATCCGCGGGACAACGGTGCACCAGCTTCGCAGGTGCGTGCAGCTGGTTGGCGCCCAACTCCCCGTCACATGCCCAGCGCAGACACTTCACCCGTGACGGCGCCCACCAGCCACGTCCACCTCGGGATACCACCCCCGAGGTCGTCTTCGTAGACAACATCCCCGGCGACTTTCGCGCACGTCGCCCGGGTATCCTGGTTGACCGGGTATTTCGCGGTCCTCCCGCGGTTTCGCGGCCCCCGCGGTCCTCCCGCGGATTCGCGGCTCCATGGTCCTCCCGCGGTTTCGCGGCTCCCACGGTCCACCGCGATTTCGCGGCTCCCACGGTCCACCGCGATTTCGCGGCTCCCACGGTCCACCGCGATTTCGCGGCTCCCACGGTCCACCGCGATTTCGCGGCTCACACGGTCCTCCGCGATTTCGCGGCCGCCGCGGTCGGCTCCGCCCAAGCGAGGACGGGGCCAAACACAACTCCCGTTGACAGAGGGGAGGTGGTTGGGTGGTGAGTGTGGTAGAGGGGAGGTGGTTGGGTGGTGAGTGTGGTAGAGGGGAGGTGGTTGGGTGGTGAGTGTGGTAGAGGGGAGGTGGTTGGGTGGTGAGTGTGGTAGCGGGGAGGTGCTTGGGTGGTGAGTGTGGTAGAGGGGAGGTGGTTGGGTGGTGAGTGTGGTAGAGGGGAGGTGCTTGGGTGGTGAGTGTGGTAGAGGGGAGGTGGTTGGGTGGTGAGTGCTGTGCTCTCATCTCACCTGGTCCCTTGAAGCATCCGCCTCAGGTTCCTTGTCGAGCAGGGGCTGACAGGGTGGTGAGTGCAGGGAAGGGGAAGGTGGTAGGGCGGTGAGCGCAGGGGAGGGGGGGTGGTAGAGTGGTGAGTGCAGGGGAGGGGAGGTGGTAGAGTGGTGAGTGCTGTGTAGGGGAGGAAATGGGTCCCGAGGCTCAGTTGAATGGCGGATGAAGGTGCTGGCTCAACCAGGCCTTCAAACATTCTGTTTCGTATTCATGGTCAAGCAGGGGCTCACCAGGTGGTGAGTGCAAGGAAGGTGGTGAGTGCAAGGAAGGTGGTGAGTGCAAGGAAGGTGGTGAGTGCAAGGAAGATGGTGAGTGCAAGGAAGGTGGTGAGTGCAAGGAAGATGGTGAGTGCAAGGAAGGTGGTGAGTGCAAGGAAGGTGGTGAGTGCAAGGAAGGTGGTGAGTGCAAGGAAGGTGGTGAGTGCAAGGAAGGTGGTGAGTGCAAGGAAGGTGGTGAGTGCAAGGAAGGTGGTGAGTGCAAGGAAGGTGGTGAGTGCAAGGAAGGTGGTGAGTGCAAGGAAGGTGGTGAGTGCAAGGAAGGTGGTGAGTGCAAGGAAGATGGTGAGTGCAAGGAAGGTGGTGAGTGCAAGGAAGATGGTGAGTGCAAGGAAGGTGGTGAGTGCAAGGAAGGTGGTGAGTGCAAGGAAGGTGGTGAGTGCAAGGAAGGTGGTGAGTGCAAGGAAGGTGGTGAGTGCAAGGAAGGTGGTGAGTGCAAGGAAGGTGGTGAGTGCAAGGAAGGTGGTGAGTGCAAGGAAGGTGGTGAGTGCAAGGAAGGTGGTGAGTGCAAGGAAGGTGGTGAGTGCAAGGAAGGTGGTGAGTGCAAGGAAGGTGGTGAGTGCAAGGAAGGTGGTGAGTGCAAGGAAGGTGGTGAGTGCAAGGAAGGTGGTGAGTGCAAGGAAGGTGGTGAGTGCAAGGAAGGTGGTGAGTGCAAGGAAGGTGGTGAGTGCAAGGAAGGTGGTGAGTGCAAGGAAGGTGGTGAGTGCAAGGAAGATGGTGAGTGCAAGGAAGGTGGTGAGTGCAAGGAAGGTGGTGAGTGCAAGGAAGGTGGTGAGTGCAAGGAAGGTGGTGAGTGCAAGGAAGATGGCGAGTGGATAGCTTGGTGGAGAGATGACTCGCGTTTGATCTTTTATATCTTGTCTAGACTCCAGTGTCGTTATTCCGGTAGGTGGTCCATGTGGAGGTGGTCCATGTGGAGGTGGTCCATGTGGAGGTGGTCCATGTGGAGGTGGTGTTGCACCTGGTAACAATTCCGCTCTCCACCTCTCCTCCCCTCCTGCCCTGCTCCTCGCCAGCACGGTGCCATTCAAGAGTGCGCCGGGCAGCTACACTGCCAAGTTCGGCACGCTCTGTGTGCAACCCATCCCGTTCTTCCTGCATTCCGTCTCGCCGCCCGCGCTGCAACCCGATGGGCTCTGGTACTTCAATTCCTCCATCACAGACATTCCCAAGGTGAGTGTGATCAAGTGTGATTGTGTGTGGTGAAAGGAATAAGTGTTATGGAGTGTATTGTCTTTTTACGTAGTGCTAAAAGTTCAATGTTACATTTTTTGTTTTCCATGTTCCGTACTGTCCGCCATCCGGACGAACGGCTGGTTAATCTTGTCGCACAAACTCGTAAAGATTTTCCGTACACCATATAGGCATGGTAATCTGTTCGTCAGTGAGCGTTCGATGTCGCACACTTTCAAAATCATTTTCCTTTTTTTGCCCTCAGTAACGCACAGTCTGTGTCCGTTCGTTTGCTGGACTGTCCTAACGAGCAGCGATATGATCGACGGGCAAAAAACAGATACGAAATCGGTTTACCCAATCACAATTACGGCGGCTCGGAAATCCATCGAGCACAGCCAATTACACAAGTTTATAACATTGAGCACAGTTGCGCGACTCTAAGTACATCGAACGAACGATGGAAGAGCGCTATAAATGCTTAAACGAACCGAACGGAAAATCGTACTAGCACAGAGTGGACTCCTATAGTTCTAGTTTTTAATAGGAACCCATCGAAACCCCTGACGAACCCCCGCCACCGAATCTCGGTGTACCTGCAATTTCTTCTCCGGATCACGTTGCGGGCCTCACGAAAGTTGCGATATAATGTTGATCATGTTACAAGTGTACATTATTTGAGATACAGAAAGCTCCGCAGTCACCGTCTGGACGAGGCACGGTTCGAACGTATGCCCCGTTCCATCCGCATGCGCTATTAGTACCATACAAAAACCATCGACTGGACAAATTCGTAAAAAAAAAAAAAAAAAGACGCCTTTATGGGGATTTGCTTCCAAGTAAGCTGACATGGCAAGGAAGTCTCCCTTGAGGGAGGAGCAGCAAGTGATGCTCTGCTTCAGCTACTATTATGTTCATACTTTCGGTGGCTTTTATAGCTGTGATGTAATTTCAAACAACCTTGTTCTTCTAAATTTTCACCAGCTGATGCTATATCCTCCCCTTTACCATCCCATATGCCGTCACAGTCCAGCGCCCACTTCCTCTGCTGGTTTTATGAAATGTCTCTTATTTTCCTTGACCAACCTTTTACCATAGTCATAGCCTTGCTTCACCTGGATGCAAGTTTCCCACATTACTCTGTTCTCTCCATTGTGCTCTTGTGCTCAGGTGGGGTATCGAGCATTGTTTATTGAAGTTGATTTCAAGCACGGACCCTACCATAAGCCATTCGTTCTCACCACTGAATCCATGATAGCACCAAACACATTTCCATTTGCCCCATGTAATAGCACTGCTTGCTTGACTGAATTTGCATGACTTTGCTATCACGTTTTTCCTTTTGTATTGACAACAAATGTAAAAAAAAAGCAACATGCACTCACCAAGTCGGCAAATACCGTACTTCAAAATGTGCGTGCAGACCCTCTTTTTTGTTGTACAAGGAATCTTGGGAATTCCTAGACAGGAGGTGATGAACATAAGTGTTCCATGTTTATTTCTTAGATGTGCAACCTAAAATTAACGCATACTGCGTTCCAAATAATGAAGTGTGACTACAAAATGAAGTTGGCTTGAGATGCCAAGTACCGTAGTTCGAACTTCGAAAAGTTCTCTAACATTCTGCCCCGAAGTTCCCCTTCGGCTGGTTGCGTCATGTCCCGTGGCTGTTATTGTTAGGAGATCGAACCATTCGGCTGCGCTGACAATGTCCTTGTAGCTGCTGTCATTCGCCGCGACGACCTGTCGGTGTACAGTATTTCGTTTTTTAGCCGAGCAATATACGGTACGGCTGGACCTTTTCGCCTTCGGTCAAGTCTATGATCAGTTGGAAAGGCATTTCTATCTGCTGAGTGTACTATAATAATACACTCTCGAAATGTATGTGTCGGTGTATCAGTCCACGCGCCATGTCAAAGTACTTAGTTAGAATATTTCAATTAATGTTGCCTGAAACTGCGCTTACGTCCATTCGCCTCGAACGATACTGGTATTCGCGAAAATATACTCCAATGCTGGGTCTCGTAACAATGTTAGTCCGAGCGGTATGCGCATCGCTTCGTGGACTATGCTGGGTCAGGGTTGTGTTGACGAGAAGGCCGCGCCCTCCAGGCCTCTGGTTAACAGGGTGAATCACCCTTATGACACTTACTATAAGGCTGGTTTTCATAATGCACCCTTTTTTTTCAGAGTGGTTCATTTCTAGACCCTTCCAAAAAGAAATGTTTGGTTCTAGGACACTTATATTTCAGAGTTACGAAGTGTTGACACACTGACGAAACCGAGTTCGCTCTATCAGGGATGTTACATTTTCCCGCGTAAACACAATAACACGGCGAAACATCAGAGATAACACACATAGAGTATCGAACCTGCATCATTAGCATCAAATTTACACCACAAGTCACTGCAACACCACACTCTGCTATTGTAGCAGATATAACGTATTTTTGCCTATTTTTGCACCCTGCTAGGAAAGAGTGTTTTTGCCAGGTACCCTTTCAGAAAGAGTGAAGACGGAGCATTGGCCTTACATGAAAGAGAGGCTCAAATCCTAACCAGAGGCCTGGCGGCCTCGCTTGGGCGAAGCCGACTTCGTGGTCGACTAGGCTTCGTGGTCGGCTAGGCTTCGTGGTGGACGCCGAATTGGAGGAGCAAGTCGGCTTGGTTGGTCGACCTCGGCGGTTGACTGAATTCGGTGAAGCCGACCTCCGAGAAACCGACGCAGCAAATGGCGAAGTCAACTTCGTCGTCCGGGGTGCAGCCGGCCGAGCTTCTTGGACGGCGCCGACTTGGAGGAGCAAACGCTACGATCACTTGTATCACCCGTGCTTTTTTTACGTAGTCCAACTTCAGGTGTAAAGAAGTCTGGCGCAGTAGGCCGTTGGCAAGCTGGAAGGGTAAGCCGTGAAGGCCGCCATGGACGAGGAGATATGGAGGCTATCACCAACAACAAGTGGGAACTTGTCGAGTAGCCTCGCGGTGTTAACGTTGTGAAGAGAAGCTAGGTGCTGATGACGAAGTAACACGTCGATGGCACGGTCGCTTGCGAGAAGGCACGCCTACATATGAAGGGCTTCACACAGGTGTGCAACGTCGACTTCGACGAGACGTACGCACCGGTAAGGAGCTACGTCAAGCAGAGGATCTTCCTCAGCATCGTCGCTGTCCTCGACTTGCACCTGATGCAGCTTGACATGAAGATCTCTATTGTGCAGAGCAAGCTTGACCAAGTGCTCTACTGTCAAACATTATATATGTTTCTGCTGTGTAGGCTACAGTGGGTTAGCCTTTAGGGGGTACAATACTCTAGGGTTTCATACTTGTATCTCCAATCTTCCTAGTTCATCCACTTCTCTCATTTTGACATGGTATCACGAGCCTAGGTTAGGAACCTAGGACCACTTACCTAAGGGCCCACCGTTCCGCTAGAAGCGCCCTCGAGCGCCCTATCGACTTAGCGCCCTCGAGCGCCTCTCTCCTAGAGCGCCCTCGTGCGCCTATCCTTCTCCTGCTGCCCGTGCGCAGCTCGCTAGTGCCGCGCGCGGCCTTTTTTTTTAGCGCGCGTAGCCCGCTAGCAGCCCGCGCGCGGCCTTTTCTGCGCGCGCGCCGACCGTTAGCCGCCCGCACGACCAGCGCCGCCCACGAGCAGCCCGCTAGCCGCCCGTCGACCGGCCCTCCTGGCCGTCCAGAGCGTCGCAGCCCCGCCCATAGGCCGCCGCGTCGCCCTCGTAGGCCGCCGCCCGCGCGCGACTGCAGCCCACGCACAGCCGCGGACCACCCGCTACAGCCGCCCACGCGCAGGCCCACCGTCGCGCCGTGCCGCGTAGTCTAGTCCGAGCCGCGCCGCGCCGCGCCGCCCTGCCCGAGCCGCGCCGCCCGAGTCGCGCCGCCCGAATCGCGCCACCCTGACCGAGCCGCGCCGCCCCTCCTGCAGCAACTACTGTTCCTGTTCCTGCTACTGCTGCTATTGCTACTGCTACTGCTTCTGCTACTGCTACTGCTACTGCTACTGCTACTGCTGCTACTGCTACTGCCACTATGGCCAGTCCTACTGTTCTCACCTTTGACGCTGAGGGCCGACCGATTAAGTTTGATGTCTGGCTCGATGACCTGCACCTGTTCCTCCAGATCACTGGCAAGGACGACGTTTCCCTGTATGACCACACGTCCGGCGCTGCTCCCGCACCTGCTACTACTGCTGACAGTACAGCTCGCTCACAGTGGCAGACTCGTGACGCCCATGCTCGCCTAGCCGTTCGCAGCCACCTGCCGTTAGATGAGCGCGAGCACTTCGGCCAGCATTAGACCGCTAAGGAGCTGTATGATGCTGTAGTTGCCCGCTACTCCTCCCCTGCTACTGCTGCGATAGGCCGTCTCTCGCTGCCCTATCTCTTCCTGGATCTGTCTGCCTTTGCCACTGTAGCTGACCTCATCACTCACCTCCGTACTAGTGATCTCCGCTACCGTGCCGCGCTCCCCCCCGATTTCCTAGCCAAGAACCCTCCCCCGATGTACCTCACCCTCTACTACCTCGTCACTCGCCTCCCTGACTCTCTCCGCGCTGTCAGGGACCACTTTCTCGCTCTCTCACCCACCGATCTCACTGTCGACCTGCTCGAGAAGGAACTCCTTGCAGCTGAGAAGAGCATTGTAGCTGTAGGTGCCTCTCGTGGCGACCGTCGCACTCCCTTCTTTGAGGGATGTTCCCCCTCCCCCCTTCTCCCCTCCATTGCATCTGCTGCTGCTGTCGACTTCCTCGGTGCTGAGGGGGCCGGAGCTGCGTTCGCTCCCAGTAGGAGGCGCAAGGGCGGCAGGGGCAAGGGGGGCCGGGGTGGCGGAGGTGGCGGCAAGGGAGGTGGTGGTGGAGGGGGTGGAGGGGGCGGCGGCGGTGGCGGCGGTGGTGGGAGTGGTGCTGGTGGTGGGGGGGGCAGTGGCGGAGCCGGGGGTGGTGGCGGCGGCGGTGGTGGAGGTGGCGGGGGTGGTGGTGGCAGTGGTGGCGGCGGTGGAGCTGGTGGCGGGCGCGGTGGAGCGGTGCAGCGTGGTGGGTTCAGCAGCGGCCAGAGGCAGCAGCAGCAG